GAACCCCTGGAGCTTTTCATCATGCTAAGTGGATAGATGGCTAAAGCTATTTATAGTTTTAAAATTTTTCTTTTTCAAGACCAATTAAAAATAACAAAACAAGAGTTCAACGGTTTTCGAGATCTTTTTTTCAAAAGTATATATTATGGCGTCGATAAACGCAACAAACGCTATAAAAGCTCCATTTTTTGACCTATGTTTCTTTTTTTATATAAAGATATTGATGAAAAAATATGTTTGTTAACTGTAGCAAAGTTTTGTAACCAATTATGGTATTTATCACCAGAAAATGCAGCACTAACATTTTTTGATACAAATGTTCACATAAATAATAAAATAAAAATGGTTCGAGCATTGAAAACAAATAATAAATTTGATGAAACAAAAAATATTTTTTACAATCTCAAGATATTAAAATAATAATCAATATGAATATAGAAGACTTCATTACTACTGAATCAAACAACATTCTTTAATCGTTTTAATATAAGCATAGATTATCTAAACTTAGATCCTATTTTGTGAGAATATAATAACGACTACATAACAGGATTGAACACCGTAAAAAAATTAAAAGTTACAAACGATGTTGCAGAAAGAGGCGTAAAATTAATTGAAGATTACAACAATATTTTAACAAAAGATGAAAAACAAAAATAATATTTATTGCAAGTGATGTCTAAACACAGAAAAATGTATCCTAATAGCAATAAATCAACTTTATCCCAAGATTTTTAGAACATATATATAAAAGATATAATGCACTTTTATAGTATTCCATTTTATTTTATAAAAATTAGAAAATGTTGTTATTCATTAATTAAAAATACTACATTTTTAATATTATTAATTTTTTACAAATTTTCAGAAAAAGCTATTTTTTAATTTTTATTTCAACTAATGCTAGTTCAATGCTATAAAATTTAACTTAATAATTTAATGTATATTCAAGACAGTATTAAAGTATAAAAAATAAGCTGTTTAATTATTTTTGTATTATTAATATATTACTATCACATGTAAAAAATTCAATAAATTTTTAAAAATAATATATTAAAATATTTATTTTTAAATAAGGTTTTTTTTTTGTATCTTGACTTTTATTGAAAAAATCACTTGAAAATCTCTAATATAGATTTTTTATTGTTTTATAGAATATTCTTCAAAAATTCAAGATCAAAACCTTAAAATGCTGTGCGCTTCGATTAAAATTTTTCCTAATGATCTTAAATTTTCAGAATATTATTTTTTTATGCTAAAGAAAAATATGGATGGGTGTCCCGAAAGAAATTTTGAAATTCGAAAAATAAGGACCACCCTAACAAGTTACCGCGATTACACGCAATAGAGTCGCATGAATAATAAATCGGAGTAATTCGACTTTTTACAATGGTCATTTACATTGGACTCCGATGTAAACGTCGAGACATTGACGACGTAAAACACAGAAAAATTTAAACTCGATATTACTATATGTCGAGACCGAATTTTTCTACATACGCCTGATATTTATTGGAGGATCTTTTTTTCTGGGCCGTTTTAGTTTCTATATATTATTATATTAGCATATGGCATCGGCATGTAAAAAAAAAAAATAAATAATTAAATAGACATATAAAGACAAAGGTAAATAAATAGGTATGTAAACAATAAGTAAATAAATAAACGTGTAAACAATTAAATTAACAAATTAGGTAAATACAGAACATTTTTTGGTAACTAAAAATGATAACTTAAAGTCAGACATCCAAGTTGGATAACCATTCAATCGCATCACTACCTCCTTGGTGAATTCCAAGCATCCCTCTATTATATTTCCTCTGAGAGCAGAATTCTATGATGTGTCTTACCGTTTATAGTTCTTCGCAGTCACAAAACGGAGACTCAGTCATCCCTCACTTATGAAGCAAGTAATTGCACTTACCCTGCTTAGTCCTAATTCTATTATTTGTTAACCAAATCCTTCGCAGATGTTCGAATCTTGAAAGTTTCTTAGTAGGAACTGAGTTGTTTACTGTAGCTTCCGTCCACTGCTCTAACCATTGATTCTCCAAGTCCGATTCAGTATCAAGAGATTCCCGAACCGGGTTTCTTAATTTCAGTCTTTTAGCTGGGTGATTAAAAATATCTGCGTGAACTGGTAGTTTAGGGTTTACTTTTATCTTAAGCAGTAGGGAGCATGTTGCTGCTTGTCTTCTTAAATTTGGCGGTACAATGTGTGCTAAGACTGGTAACCATTAAGTTTATATGCTTTTTACATTGCCCGAAATTATCCTCATTGTGTGGTTCAACTGTGTGTCATTTTTCTTACAATGCGCGTTTCTTGACCATGTGGGAGTGCAATACTCGGCTGCACTGTAGACTAGAGCCAGAGCTGAAGTTCTTAGTATGTTTGCTTTACATCCCCAACGTGTTCCTGTTAGTTTAGATATTATAATATTCCTTGTTTTTAGTTTGTCTCTAATGGCTTCTAAGTGTTGTCTGAAGGTCAAAGTTCTATCAAGTTTTACCTCCAAGTATCTAGGAAAATCGTCATTAGGTATGCGAATTCCGTTTACCATAATTTGTAATTTAGTATTGGCCTCGTGTTGTTGCCTCGCAAGTGTTTTTAAAAACACTTGCTTTTCAAATCTTTATTTAAACTAAACGACGATATTATTGAGTTGAAAATGAAGTAGAAATTCAATAATGCACAACATTCATGGTTTAAATTCAATAACGTACAACGTACACTGTTGGAATTATCATAATCCATTGAAATTTGAAAAAAAACACACATTTTTTTTGTTCTTTTTTTAATAATTTTTTATATATAAATACTCATTTTTGTACCCAAACAATAAATAATCACCTCGAAAATGAGAAGCAATAGAAAAAAAAAATTCAATTTAGATATTTATGATTAAATAATAAAAATTTAAAATAAAACAGTTAAATTCGCCGCAAAAATTTGATTTTGCAAAATATGTTTTCGTCTCCGACGAGTTTAAAAAAAATGTGTTCATTTCGGTAGTGAAATGATTATTTCGCTTAATTCAGACGTAAATACAAATTCTCTATACTCCTATTATAGGCGGAGACATTTAATAAAATAAAAAAAAACATACTCTACGATAATGTATTGTACATTATTGTGTCATGATATACACAGCATTTCATTAATGTCATGATGTACTATTTAAGACTTTAATTAATCAATCACACAAAATAATACGTACTTCAATATAAAAATAACCTATATATATACCTTTTAAAGTTTAAATAAACTAATGGAATTTCGTAGAAAAAGGCATATATTAATTATATAAAACAAACAAGAAATAATAAACAATACGTAATTGTAGCCCATATGATGTAGGGTAATAAACTGTGTCTGAAATATTATGTTAGAGATGATAGTATTTTGTAATACAAAGATCATTATTGACGAAAATGTAGTAGATTACAATTAATGAAGAAATAACGGTAGCATCGGGGAACACTTCTGCCTTTCAACTATCTATCGAATTTAATACAAAAAGCCAAAAATAAGGAGCATCCGGGCTCAGACCCAGTCCATAATTTGTAGAGGTACTCAGAACGTTAAATTGTGGTCAATCAGTCTACTCTCCATTTTCATAGCGAAATATATGCGAGTAGTGATCCACCGTGTCTCCCCAACATAATCATACGAGAAAACAACATCTATTTATTTCATAGCGTCGTTGAAAATATCAAAGTAGGAAACTAATAGTTTCACCAAAAATGTATAAGGTTTAGAAATAAATTTTATGAGTACATAGATTAAGTAAGCACAAAGGAAAATCGAGCGATCATTAATTATAAGATATACACCGAATAAATTTAATAAATTGATAATGTTTGTACAGAGTTATATCTTTGATACGCGTCTATTTCGGAAGTTAAGTTGGGTAGACACACGAGGTGACCAAGCATCGATAACCGTTAAAACATGTGGCATTATAATATTAAAGAATTGACGATTAATCACAATAAATCTCATATTAATAAAACAAAGATCACTTTATTTTTCTACTATCATCTTCAATCTTTCTTACAGACCCGAGTACTCATACCCCGATTAATAATATTGTTAATACAATAAATACAGTAGCTCGACCCAAATCATATTTATTTATTTCATTCTTTCTTTTTGAGTTACTACGATTGTACGTCGAAACATAAATATATATTCTTCCAGAGTTGTACATTTCATTATTTTGACAGCGCCGGAAAACCGTGTTCTATCGCAAGTGAATCGGCCGGGACACATTTGTTTTCTTTCTTCAACCTTTCAGTACGTTTTAAAAGCTTCCGTACAATCGTGTCATTTGAATTTACGTCTAATATATTGACGAGTGACCCGGTCGTTCCGGAACGTTTTCGAAACGGTGTGTCTAAAAAGAAACGATTTCAACCAGCGGTAGTGTTTTTACGGCAGCCGGTAGCGCTTTTCAAACCCTCCCCCGTATTCTGATTCGTCACGGGTTCGTCGCCAAAAACTGTTCCGAAAGAAAGCTCTCGTCGTGTCGGTTCGGGTTCAACGAGGGGTATCCTTGTTAGAATTTCGCTTATCATTTGAAAATTTCGACGAGACGAAATTTGAAAAAGTTATAGCGTTTTTAAAATGCGGAAACATTTTTTTTTTTTTTAACGCCACCATTTTGAATAGCCTAGTTTTGCCATGTTTTTTTGAATTTCTAAAATTCGAGGGGGGTTTTTTTTTCAAAAAATTCAACCATGACAACGGGTTCAACCGGATTAAAATGGGGTTCTTTTGGCGCATTGAACGCGCGTTAAATCGGCGAGGGTCGATAATTTTTACCAACAGAAATAAGAAGAAAAATACGCGATCGCAAATTTTTCCAATTCTATATTACCGTTGGATTTAATCGCAATACGCTTTACCCGTTATCTACTAGGGGACGACCCCATTTACACGAACGAATGGATTTAAAACACAAAAAAAACGATTAAATCGTAAAATAATTACAACGAGGTGCTGAGAATTAACATTTTTTTTTTATTTCGTATATTATTAAACTTTTTAAAAAGAAATATTTAAAATGCACACATATAACACACACACACATATATATATAATAATAATAATTAACCGTAAACTATTTTGTATTTAGACGAAAAATATTTTTTAAAATAACAAACAAAAGCTCTAGTATAATCTCATAAACAAAACGAGTGTATCCAACTACACTTGTTTGTCGACTTTTATTTATCTCTATCGTTAGTTTCTTCTTTGTTTCCATCCTTACTTTCTTTTACGCCTTCTTCTCGGTTCACTCGTTTGTTTTCATCCTGTTTATCTCGTTTGTTTTCATCCTGTTTATCTCGTTTGTTTCCCTCCTGACTTTCTTCGTTGTTTTCCTCCTGACTTTCTTCGTTGTTTTCCTCCTGACTTTCTTCGCTGTTTTCCTCCTGACTTTCTCCGTTGCTTTTTTTATTCGAAATAGATATTGTTACTCTTTTTTTCACTCGTACTCCTTCGTTAACGTTCTCCCCACACGGACAACCGTTCTCGTTTTCGCAATTACATCCGGATGGACATTCACATTGAGACCGATCCGCCATCGTTGAACCTATTACATTGGATAGAAATTATTTAAATATTATTAAAAAAAAAACGTTATATGCCAACGAAAACCATCTGCCAAAGTCCACGTGTAATACGCGTCGAGTGGAAAAAAAATTAAAATTTCTAAATCGCAAACTAAATTACGATATCCCATTATGGCCACGTTGTTATAGAATATAGACGTGTGTTACCATACCATACTATGAGTCCTATACCATACTGCACTACATGTCTATACGATACTACGTGTCTATACTATACTACGTGTCGTTAGTGTAAAAACGTATGGCCAATTCGTGATTTCGCTCAGACACTCGGGCGCGTCTTCAACGCCGAACTTGTTCTTTTTAGAACAAAAGCATTTGCCATTTCATCGCGTATTTGGTGCAGAGTGACGTCGAGCCTCGCTTTTGCTTACAAAGACTCCGTCATTCTCCAAAAAAAATCGATAAAACAATGTAAAAAATGTCAACAACGAGCGATTCGTCGAGAATAAAAAACAGGCGTCATTTATCATTGAATCGTATGTCCATCGCACCCCAAGCGTGTTCCGAAGGCAAACACCGAGCTCAAAGCACAAGTTGGATGTTTTTCACGAATTGCCGACTAGGCTGTAAGATGAGATATCGCAACTATTTATTTTTTACATTTATTTTATTTATATATTTAATATATATATTAAATATTTTTTTTTACGCATTTTTCACAAGAATTCGATGCGGTGTTTCCGACAACGTATCTATATATCTTACTCGAAGTATTCACGCTGATTGGATTTTTTCTCGTCAAATTCTCAAACTCCATAAAGCTTATCATTCCGTTTCCTGCGAAATGAACGAGAACGCAAACAAAATGAAATTTTACAATCGCTATTGTTTTTTTTTAAATTTTTATCTTATCAACAACAATTACCGTCTTTATCGAATGCCATGAATAATTTATTATTATTCTCTGCCGAATTTTTCCAATTCATTTTCAATGTTAACGCCTCCAATTCTACGTTTGAAATTTCGCCGTCCCCATCAACATCGAGATCATTGAATGCTTGTGTTAAAATTTCCTTGAGCTATTATGGAAAAGACAAAATATGACTTTTTTATTTGTTATCAACAATAAAAATTGTAGACATCAATAAACGTGAATTTATACATAAATGTGTGTGTGTACAGAGTGGAACAGATCTACTTGACAACTCGTATATTTAAATAAAATATAGCAAATTATGCTAAATTTAATGAAAATAAAAATAGATAGTGTTAAAAACGATTTTGGATTTTTTTTTTGTTGATAATTTCGTCGTTAAAAATAATTTAATAAATACAGAAAGACGAACAATGTAAAAATAGTACCAAATTTTTTTCCCTTTGTTTTTTCGAAATGTGTCATTTCAAGGGATTCACAAAAATATTAAACGCGTCGTGTTTAAATAATAAATGTATATAGGAATCGTTAAGATAAGGCAAAAACTTTTTTTTTAGATCACGTTGAGCTGCACCCACAGACAGAAAACACAAACAGAAAACTTCAACAACAATGATTATTATTAGTTCAATAGGAACTGTTTTCTTTGTAAACTTACTCTCCTCCTTTCTGCAGATTCGTCCTTAAATTTATATAAAAATCATTATTATTATTACATATGCGATTGTTAATTTTTTTATTAATATCGATGATGTTAAAAAAAAAAAAAAAATGAAAATCGGTAAACAGTAGAACTGCGTGTAAGATCGTTATTGTGACAGTTTTACAGCCGCAGTGAGTTGCCATAATATTCACTTTGAATTATTTCTTCTATGACTTACGATATAATAATTATGATTCCGTTATATTTAATAATTATAATTATATTATTTTATAGTAATTTTATTTTGATATTAACACTTTTAACGTTTTTAGATCAAGTTAAAAGCACATTATTTGTTATTTGTTTTTAATAACGGTAATAATAAAAAAATTATTTGTTTTAATTTTCAATTTTCGAAACGGCTTTATTTAGTTTTTCTCGCGAAAAATACTTATCGAGTTACGAGCACAAACATTACATATTACACAGTACAGCACATATTATGGTTATTTGTGAGGAAATTAAAAAAAAAATTACATATTAAATTATAATTAATAAAAAAAAATTAATTATTTTACTCTTTGTAAATTATTAAATATAAATATAAATAATAAAAACAAATGTATTTAACATAATCTAAAAATACTACAATTGTAAAAATATAATCATAACGAAATTTCGACTATTCCGAGTATAATTGTAATTCTGAAAGGTAAATTTTACAAGACTGTAATAAGGCTATGATGTATGGTTCATAGTGTTGGGAGGTTGATAAGAAAGTGGAGCAGAGATGAGAGTGCTTAGATGGATGAGTGGAGTAACTAGAAAAGATTAGGATAAGGAACGAGCATATAAGAGGAAGTACAGGTGAGCGTCAATCGTGGATAAGATGAGAGAAAATAGACTTAGATAGTTTGGTCATGTTATGAGAAGAGAAGAGTCGGAAGCTGTAAGAACAGCTTAAGGGTGGTTAATTCTTCATTATTTTTTTTTTTCAAAGTTTCCTCACAAATTACCGTAATAAATTAATGCTCGACTTACCTCTTTCGACTGTTCCTAAAAAAAAAAATTATCTTTTACAATGCAATAAAAATTCGCACGTCATCACTACTGTATGCTTCCCCTCCCCTCCACATTAAATACCACATCGTTTGCCGAAATATTTATTAATAAAATATGTATTAAACCCGACTCCGGGTCCAATACGTAGAAACATAGATACTATTAATGAAATAAACTCACGTCGCTCGCTTCTTTCGACTCGTCGTTCTGAAACATACAATTTTGATAAGAATTATTGACAGTTTGATAAGTATTTTTAATTTAACTCGTTATTTTTCGATTAGATAACACGTAATCGTGAGCAACAGCAGCAACGATTACGTTTCATCCCTTTTCGTTGTTTCCCCTTCGCACTTAGATGTCATCTAGACGCGAAAGGAGAAAGACGAGGGGTGATAAAAAACTAAACTGTCGACATACTAGACTAGACCGTCCCGTTTACGCGGTGACGTCGTCGTTGCACTTACGTCGTTTTTGGTCAGTACGCTTTCTGGTTGCGCCTAAAAAAATAGGAAAAACATTTACACAACAGAAATAGAAAATATCTACGCTTCGTTCCGAACCTATATTATTTATATTTAATACCCAACCTTATTGTCTATGAAATTAAACGGTTTGGTTTTTTTTTTTCTTAAATTTCAAAATAATTTTTTTTTAGTTCGTCTTGCAAAACACTCTAACGGGTCGACAACGACGATGACTTAAGATGGAGTTTCCTATACTAGTCCTCCCATAGGACGATTACCGTCGAGGAGGAATCGTATGAGCGACACAAATCGCGTATCAGTAAGGAAACGCTAATAATAAAATAATTAAAAGTTATTATCTTCTTTTGAAAACTATCATTTTACTTTTGGCTTCGATGCGAAGCCGAAAAGGTATTTTTATTATTGAAAACAAACAATTGTTTTTTTTTACTGAAAATTACTATTTTACGCTCTTAAACAATAATCGCGAGCAGCGGCGATTTTATATTTCACCCCTTTCCAATATATCCCCCTCCTTCCACCGGATAACATTCGATATTTTCAACATGAAAACCAACAGCGCCGTTTACGCGGTGACGTTGTTGCACTTACGCCGTTCTTGGCCGGTACACATTCTGGTTGCACCTAAAAAAAAAAAAAAAAATTAAGAAAAACATTTACATAATAAAAAATATTTACGCTTTATTTTAAACCCGATAGATTATCGAATTATGTGAAATCAAATAAGAAATTTAATGATTATTTTTTTTTTATATAAATCTCAAAATAGTCTTTTTAGTTTTTCTCAGGGAACATTTTCATGGGCTGATAACGACCACAGATCAAGTGTACTCGTCGAGGAGGAACAACGATACGTACGAGCAACGCAAATTGTGCAACTCGTAGGGGAAACACTAAAAATAAAGCAAACTAACAATTTTTTTTTTTTTTTTTTCTTTTTTATTATTAAAAATAAATAAGTCTTAATTTTTTTTTTAACTGAAAATAATCGCTTATTGTAACAATTGTAAGAAATTTCGCTTATTAGATTAAATAACGATTGCGAGCAATTATTAGTTTGCCTTTCGATTTTTTTATCGCGCCAACACGATATATTCGACTTTTTCAATTTGAAAACAAACGGCCCCTTTTACGGTGAAATCCGTACTCACGTTATTTGCGGGTGCGCTTTCCGATTGCACCTGGAAAAAAAAAAAGATGATAAGACAAAATAACATTTAAAAATAAAAATTTTCTATGCTTTTTGTTTTACAACCTCGACGAACGAAACGATTAATTTCGTAATGAAAATAAACTTGAAAACTACCGACAATATTTCGTAGGTAGCTGACAATTATCATTGTTATTATTATCGATCGTTATTATTTATTGATATAAAATTGTTTCTAGAAAATTATTTGTATTAAAAAATAATTATTCGTCATACTTTAGTGGAATTTTTGTTGGATTCGCCGTTGTCGTCCTAGATAAAAAAAAAAACAATAAAAACGCTCGATTTAAATGTTGTTTTTAATCAACTCGATTGACGACATCGTATGGATAACTCTTATTATTATTTATTAGACGAATCTCATACCTGGTGATTAGTGGGCGACGCGGTCGCACTTTTCCACAGAAAGCAGCTGGCAGCGCACAAGTACAACACTAGAGTTTTCGTACGCATAGTGGTTTTTTTTTGTTTTGAAAAAATTTTCCGGTCGAAAAAATCCACCGTCTGCGGAGCGCAGTCGATTCGGATCATTTATAGCGGCCACAAGACAAAAAACAACTCTCTAAAACATACTCCGACGGTAAACAACCAAGTCCAAACACCCTTGTGCAAACAAACGAACCGACGACGCAGAGAGTATCGAAAATAACGCGTCACTCGAGAGCTTAAAATACCCTGCAGGTTTAAAACGTACAGAATAAACACCGCGATTGTGTTTTATTTGTTTAATCGGCAAGAGAAATCGTGTCGTTTTTTGTACGAGTCGTATCCAAGGCTATTGAAAACCGCCGAATAACAAGTCGACGATTTCGTATCGTTTTGTAATTCCGATTTACATGTCAACACAATTCTTGTAAATTTACTCACCCCTCGTGCCGAAAACACAAAAAATGAACGTCTCCGCTGAAATGGGATTACAGACCCATTTTTTTTTCACACTCGGTATTGTAGTGTTCCGCCCTGGAACTTCCGTTAGGCGTTTCTGGGTTTACAGACCCGACCAAACCAAACCCAACCCTAAAACTATATATATATGTTTGTATGTATGTGTGTGTGTATTGGGTTTATCAAAGTTTTAAACACCGAAAACGTCAAAACTCATATTGGCCCTATGGGAAATTTTATTCGTTTTAAACGGGTTTATTCTTTAACGCGTTTTTAAAAGCCGTACAAAATACATTTTATTATCAATTATTGTTGTTATCGAACATTTTTTATTAAAAAAATATCCTCTTGTAAATACATTATAACGACGTAATAATAAAAAATAAACTATTTATTTCTGTTTTTAATTCGAAAAAAAAAATACTAATACAATTTTTACGTAAATATAATATATATAATAATATAATCTTCTTGATTTTTCTCGCCTTAGTCCCAACTACTTTGAATAGGCTATATATAATAATTTAATATATATAAATATATAATAATAATAATTAATATGTGTGATATTCGAGGTTTTTTTTTTTTTAATTAATTAATTTAACAATCGTATTGATAGAAAACAATTAAATTTCTAGTAAAAATATCGTCAAAAACATTTTCTACGACTCGCTAATAATCGCAACGTTTATTTTCTGTTTCGATAACATTCAAATCATCGGATAAAAAATAATTTATCCAAGTTAATAATAATAATATTGGATAATTTTGATAATATTATCGACCAAATTTAATAACGTCATTAGAACGCGTTCTAATCTTCTATTATTAATAATTAGGATAAAAACAAAAATTGAAAGGAAGCTCTCCTGTGAATCCAACTTAATCATCGAGATTTTCCCCATCCGACACATAGTCGGATACACACACACAATCTCGATATTTAAGTTTGTCTTTTGTTTCTGCGAGCCGACAATGAATTCCGGTATCGACGGAGAAGGGGTGGCATTGATAACCCGCCACCATTAAATTAGGGGAGGATCGGTTGCGCCAAATGAAGTGGAGCGCTTAAGCGTTACAAAAACTTTTGGGGAGTACGCTACTTTTACGAAGCCGGTCGAGGAGCACAACACTTTTTCGAAGCTGTCAGGAGCGCACTCCCATTTTTGAGGAGGTTGGGGGCTAGCTGGATGTCTGAAAATTTAAAACATTTTTCGCTATCGCCATACAACGTCACGACGTGTTATAGCGGGGCAAAAGAAAAATTTCAAAATATTTCATCGACCACCAGCCCGCCTTTTCTTTTTGATTTTTTATGTCCCCAACCTCCGCCAACGTGGTGGTGGCGCCACATTTGGTAGCTCCTGTTTACGAAAATCCGCCTGCTTGTCGCGCGATCGGCTCCTACACCGGGCCGCCGTCCTAAACGCATATCTAAAAACAACCTTTTTTACAACCGCTCTAGCAAAGCGATTCGGCTCTCCCGGAGGTCTTTAGGGGGGTATGGGTCTTCTTTGGCGTCTAACGGGTCTCCTGTAGGGGTTATGAGTCTTCTATAGGGGGTACTGGTCTCCAACGATGGGAGGGGGAAGGAGGTATAGGTAATTTTCAATATTTCAAATCGAGTATTATTTGCAGATAAACGAATCGCCAAAAAAAAATTTTCCTCGAATAAGAAAAGTTTAAACGAGTGTCGATTGCGGCGAAAATAAACTATGACGCGGCAATTGAATCAATACAAAACAATAGTTTGTTTGTGTCATCGTTGTTTTTCACTGAAAAAAATATATTTTTTTTGTTATCGTTTGGAGATTATTTACACGTGATGGGCAGCACGTGTCGTGCATTTCTCAAACGAGACCCGCGCCTTGGAAAAAAAGGAAAATCGGTCATGAAAATAACTTAACGGAATCAGTACGTGCAGCGTATTCATCGCAAACGTCACGTTTGTAGGGCATCGTCGATTTCGACAATAACTTTGCTTTCCGACAAGAATTCTCGGTCAGCACAGCCGAGATTTCAAATGTGGCAGAGTTTTTTATTTTTTTATTTCTACTATAATACACTAACTAGGTCCGTAATACGGTAACTAGTACTGTAATATAGTTTACTGTTAGTATACTATTTGAAGCCGCTTTTTTAATCGTAGCTATCGATTTGACATAAATATCGCGGCTCATATTAGCCCTACCCGATCGACGATAACTCCGCCCGCGCACGATGTTTGTGCGGAGATTTTTTAAACGGGGCCGTCGCTTTTTAACGCGGACGGACGAGGCGGCGGCCACGCGCGAGTTGCCGTCGAGAACCGTTCACATCGGGTCGGGAAATGGGAAAAAAATTAATTCGCCGGTGGAAACAAATAGAAAATCTCGGAGGAACGGGGCGAGTTAACGGCGCTCGGGGCGAGATGACCTTTAAAAAAAAAATATCCGACAATATTTGCCGACTATTCTTCCGAGTATTCCCTTTGAACGCACATCGACAGCGCCGATTAATCAAAAATAAAACGTGCTATTTGTTTTATCGAACCGTGTAAATTTAACGCGCAAATTTATTAAACGACCGGCACGTGCGTTTGTTTTGTTGAGTCATACGCGCGATGATCCGTTTTTGCCAGTTGGAAATATCAATCGCACGACGCAAAATTTTTCCGTTCTAAATAGAAAATAAAACAAAATAAATATATCGGAATAAATAAAAAAAAATGTTTTTATTCTATTTTTGTTTACCCATTGTGTACAATAAAAAAATATGTTTTTCTTTAGCTGTTGCCGCGATAGCTATTTGAAAACAACTAAAAGGGTATAATTTACAAGTACAGGTATAATTATAGTTGGGTTATAAGCATTTCAAAATCTCGAGTCTTATTCGAATCGAAAGAGTACTAGGAGGCGACGGGTTGGGTTGTTGAATAGAAACGGAAACGGCGAAGGTTTTTTTCCACGCTCGCGGTGTACACGTGTAGTTTCTGCGCGCAAAATAATTACCTTAATAATCTCAATAGTAATAACCGATTGTCGGTTAAACGGGAAATAATCGACTCGGAGGCTCCACGTCCGGCGAGGTATACTCTACTGGGCGGGGGGTCTCATCGGAGGTATGATTTTGCATTTTAATGTTTTTATACCGTGATTTTTCCTCTTTTATTTTTCATTACTCCCGTTGGGGAAACAAACTATTAACAAAAAAAAATACTTAAATTCCCCCCAGTAATATTCCCCCAATAGTATCCCCCGGCAGTAGTCCATCGATAGATAGACCGATTGGAAATCGTACGATGTGTTAGAAAAATTTCTCAAGGGATGGAAGGGCAGGCAGATGTGTGACTTCTCCTCCGAAATCGGGCAATCGGCGTGGTCATCATAAAATACGCGTTTTTAAATAAAAAATACATCGACGATGCGAGTTTCGTCGTGGATATTTATATTAACATTACGTTAATATAAAAAAAATAATAATTGTTCAAATTTAAATTGAAACTATATTGAAAATTTTGTCGATTTAAAAACGACACGCGCGCGTGTTTAGCGTCGATAATGTCAAAACACGCGTATGTGCGACTTTTTACAATTTTTTTTTCGGCTATTTGAGTTTATTTAAAAAAACGGTTTTACTTTAATATCAATATTTAAATATTTGTATTAGGGTTTTAATTATTTCGTTCTTATCCGGTCGTTGAGGTGGGAGGACGACAGATTTTTTATCGGTAGTGATCTCGCGAATTGCTAATTGTAAAAAGTATTTCCAAAACTATGAGCCCTGTACCCTCTACACTCAAAGAAATACCTAAATCAATTTTGATAGAGAAATTTTATCAAGGGTTTATGATAATGTTTTATTAATACGAACAAAATAACTATTCTTATAAATAATTATTGTTCAAGACAAGTAAAAAAAAAAACGCTTCAATGCAAATCTGTAGATAGTGTTTAATTAAAAAAAAAAAATTTGTTAAAATAGCATATTTTTGAATATGGTAGCCATTTGCTCATAGAAGATAGGTCGTCGGGACAAATTTTTTTTTTTCATTTTATAGTACATAAAATAAGCTTTAATTTGATATGTTTTTAAAGGACGTAATATTTCCGGAACATTTTCAAAAATTATGTTGAAAAAGTTATTTTTTGTAAAAAAGTTACCATTTTAAATCCCCCCAGTGAGTTCTGCTCACTAAGTGTTAGATTTTCAAAAAAAATTATATCAAATGAAAGGGAAATATCTAAGGTTTCAATACAAAAAAAACCAGCACAGGGGGGTCGCGGCACAGTGGTGACGTGGCATAGTTGGATCAAGTATATCACTATCAAAAAAAAACGCTTCGATGCAAATCTTTAGATAGTGTTTAATTTTAAAAAATTGGTGGATTAGTCCAAAAGCTTCATAAACTGCTAGTTCCTTATTAATATCCTGATTAAGACAAAGTATGTCGAATAAAAAAGAGATTATTAAAAAATAGTATTTCCCATAAAAAAATTATATTGATCAATACACTTTTCAATAAGTTATAGCATTATAATGTTAAAAATGTAAAAAATAAAATTGAGAATTTTCACACAATAATAGCATTTGGTAGCCATTTTCACCTTGAAGATAAAATAAAGTCCGAAATTTTTTTTTTCCATGATAAAGTATATTACATTAGCTT